CAAGCAGGCCGCACCTTTCTGGGTGAAACCCCAGGGAGGCAAGGGTACTGTCATGACCACTCCTGGGTGGTTGATATAGTCGCCAGGCAATCTATGAATTCGCAAGGACTCCTGAGGAGGCTCGCAGCAGCATGAGCCCCAGCCGGGGAGCCCGACCGCGCTGGGTTGGTAGGGGGCAGGAAAGCGAAGGTGGCCGCCGAGCAGATTTGCCAGAGAAGCGCTGGAGCCTGAATATATGTGTGTGTTCCTGTGCGGGAGCTCCTCCTCCTCCTCCTCCTCCTCCTCCTCCTCCAGCTCCTCCTCCTCCAACTCCTCTTTCTCCTCATCCTCCTCCTCCTCCTACTACTACTCCTACTCCTCCTCCTCTTCCTCCTCGACACGACATTGCGGGCAGGTTCGATCCTACCCACCGACAGAAAAGCCAAGCGAATTACGCTTCCACGCCCTCCACCAGCCGCTCCTCAGCGGTGGCAGCAGCGGCAGCAGCAGCACGGGCGGTGGCAGCAAGGGCGGCGCCGAGCCGCTGCCGCCGCAGGCCTGCTGCAGCATCATCCTCCTGAGACGCTGGCGAGCCTGCGGGCGCGATCGGGCCTGCGGGCGCTGGCGAGACAGGGCCAGCTCCGCCAGCCCTGATGAGACGACCTGTCTCCCAGGCCTGGCGCAAAGGGTGCCAGGCCTTGTTGATCTGATACCTCCCCGCCGCCAGCCCCCTCAACACCCTCCCGCCCCACGAGGAAGGGAGAGGAGGCCCAGGGCAGGGGCGTGAAAGGGCCAGCACCGTGCCTGGCCCACTCGCTCCACACACGGCGCAAGCGACGCACCACTGACGTGTGTCGGCAAGCTGGAAAGGATGAACGATGTGTTGCCTGCCGCCCCCGAGCGCAACTCTGGCATGCCCAAGATCGGCAGAGAGCATGCAAGGAGGCGTGATGAGGGGGGGAGGCGGCAGGACGACCAGCGGCGAGGCGCGGGGTTTCGCCTCGCGCCGCTGGGAGACATGAAGGGAGTCGATCGCCACCATGCTGGGCCCAACTTTGGCCACCCAGGTAGCGAGCTCTGACAAGACCTGCGCACGAGCTTCCAAGGGTGCCCGAACCGAGCTGGGAAGGCGCGAGAATTCGGAGGCCTGCTTCGCATATTCGTCAGCGAGATCATTCCCCGCCTTGTGAAAGGCCGAAACTCGGCCGCTCTCGACGGCAGCACGCGTGGCATGTCCCTTGACCTTGACCAGGTCGAAGCCCCCCACTCCTCCCCAGTCCGCAATCTTTTGCCACACCATGCGCCAAAGCTCAGCCCAGGCACTTTTCGCGCAGCAAGTTTTTTCTGGGCCGCGCTCGAGCACACCGTCCACAACGAAGCCAGAATCGCTGTAAAAAGTTGTGCCTGGCAGCGAGAAGCACAGGCCCTGCAAGAGCGCCCAAAGCTCGAGGGCATCAATATCCGCAGCGGGATGCTGAAAAGAGCCAGCAAAGATGGCCACGGCACGATACGAGTCCTGGGAAACCTGAACACAGGACCAGCCGAGGCCCTGCTGGGCCAGCGACAAGAAGCCGTCGCGCAAACTGCCGTCCAGAAAAACATGGCCCTGCAGAAAACCACCCCCGAGAAGCCAGAGCCCTGGAGGCCGAGGAGCGGGGTCCAGGACGGGCAACGGCACTAGGAGCCGCTCGGCTAACAGTCGAGGCAGCTCGTCCACGCATGCCTGCGCAAGCCGGCCTGCGAAGGACGGTGGCGAGGCTCCGCACGCCTCCTCCTGATACTGACATGACAGGTGGCGGTGCGACAGCGTGCCAGGAGCCTCACGACACGCTAAACAAAAAGACTGTTCCGAGAGATTGGCGTCATGCTGGCGCTGCTGAGGCCACTGACCGCCTGAGACGACACTGCGAAGATATGCTGCTCCCTGAGGGCTGACCTTTTTGCTGCGGGCAACCTTCAGGACGGGATACAAAAGGGCCCCTTGGGCAAACTCTGGACACTCCAAGTGGTCAGCCACCCTTTTCCAAATCCACTCCCCCACCAACCGATCGAAGATCGACCCCAGAGTGCGAGGGGAGAGGTCGAGAGGAGAGAAGTCCCCGATCGACGGGTGGTGCCACTGGAGGCCCTGCATGCTGATACCTAGCCTCAACGCTGAGGCTGCACACGCACTGAAAGGGCCTCGGATGCTCTGCCATGGGGAGGTGTGTTGCGAAAGCCTACCCCAGGCTTCCTCGACCCCGCTGCGAAGGATGGAGAGAGGCATCCAGGAGTCCCAAACGGCGGAGGCCAGGGCCATCAAGGGGCCCTTGCACAGCTTGTAGGCAGGGTCGACCTTTTCAACATCCGAGAGCTGCAGCATGAGAGAAATGGAGCGCCCGTCAACACGGGCAGACTCGACCTGCGCCTGTTGATGCCGAGCCTCTCGCAGCTCTGTGTTATTAGTGCCTAGGACCTGATGTCCGTAAGACACGGAAGACAGAATAGCAGACTGGACCATGTGGTGCAGTTGCTTACGCTTCAACAGGCGGCCGAACGTGAGCAGCTTACCGTGCCGTGCGCGTGCAGGGGGCATCCTTTCGTGCCTGACTTGGCGTGCAGCTACCCTACCACCGGAGAAATCGATGCCTAGATTGCGCTCGGTGGCGACTCCCTGAATCGTGAGGCGCTTTAGCCGCGCCTGGAGCTTGAGACGCAGATCCACAGACGAGGCCACAAACTTGCTCTTAGAACGCTTAATGCAAAGGTCGACCTTAGCCAACTCGGCGCGCACAAGTTCGGCGGCGCCCGAGAGATTCTTAATTACGTGCTCCTCCCGACCACATAGATGCAGCCCAAAGTCGTCCACCACCACCCCCTTTTCGACGGTCGGGAAGGCACAACTGACGACATCTAACGGCTGAAGCAGAACCAGCTGCAGCATGAGCGTGGCGAAGTGACAACCTGGGATAACGGCCTGCAGCGTGTGTATGAACTCCGACGCTCTGCCATCTAGATCAAGAATGCGGGGAGCACGATAGAGCTGAATTAGAAGTTTCAGCTGACGCAAAGGGAAGTTGGTGGCGATCGCAGCCGCCAGCAGTCTGGCATGCGAAACCTGCTCGAAAGCTTTCTCCAAATCAAGGAGAATTAAACCGCTGGCGAAGCCACGGCCCTGGGCCCACTCAGTCTTCGCAGACTGGATCCAAACCAGTTTGTCTGAGCCTCGTCCAGCCGTGGCCCACCAGAAATCACGGAAATTCTCTGTCTGCCAAGCGCGCACGAGAGGCCTGCGGAGACGGCCTTGGACGCGCGCGATACAGTGAAGAAGGCCGATTGGCTTGAGGCCCCCTGTGCGCTTGAGGAGGAAAACGATATTACTGCACATCTCTGGCCACTCGCAACGGGCCTCGATGGCCAGCACGAGCTGGATCAAAACCTGAATGGCCTCGTCAGGGAGATGATCGAACTGCCGAGGCGAAACACCGTCGAAACCGCAACCCGAGCGAGCAGGAAACGAGCGAAGCACCTTTCTCATATCCCTGACGGAGGGCTCGGGGAAAAGAGGCCCCAAATCCGCTGGCCACACAAGTGGCTCGTGAGGCTGATCCACCTTCCACCAGCGGCACCATTCAGCAGCAAGCGCATCCATCTCCTGCTGAGGGGATGCGGGGACAGGGAGCAAGGCCCCATCCTCGTCGAAACGCTCCGTCGAGTGCCACGGAGTCCGAGGACGGGTGACGGCAAAAAGAGCCGCGGCCCCGTCGACCGAATGGTCCCGCACCCACTGGCGCCAGCCAGCGCTCTTGGAATTAGCCGCCGTTTTGTGCTCTCGAGCCGCTCTGGCACGGGCCCCAGTTTCAAAAACGCGTGCCAGCTCATACGATAAATCTCTGGCCGAGCCCAGGGCGCACAGCCACGGACGCGCATCGCACAATGCGGAGGCGAAGCGCGCCTCTGCCTCATGCAAGAGCCTGTTACACGTGTTGAGCGCGCGCTGGCGCATCTGAGGCGAGTGCCAGAAGCTCAAGCAGTGAAAAGCGTACGCTACGCGCCTCCACCAGACGGCGAGGGCACTCAGTCGAGGAAAAGGTAGCCGATGGGGAGCACGAGACCGAACTTGATCAAGCTTCAGAGCCAAACCACGCCCGGAATGCGCATCTGCCTGCCGAGGGTCGATCTGGTAGATGTCGAGAAACTGCTGCTCGACCAGACCGATGAAAGACGTCCACATACCATGCACTGGTACGTCAGGGCGCGGTACTGCTTCCTGAAACTGCTGCCAGCGCTGCTGCCAATCTTGCCTTTCACATCCGAGAGGCCGAACCTGTGGGAAGCGACGTGGTGCCAGGACGCGAGACACCATAGCCTCGTCACGTGAGGCTTTGAGCTGCAACAGGACTGGCTTGTGCGGCTCCGTGGCAACAGAGGGCAAGATGCGTATTTCATGGCCGTGTCGAAGCGAGTGATGAACCACGAAGTAGTCGAGACACTTACCTCCTCCAGTGTTCGAACAAGTGGGAAGCGACGGGGCCAGGATCACTGCGTCCAAGCTGTCAACCCACTTAGAGCCTCTCAATATCTCTGGAACAATATTCCAATCACCTTGAATGACGAAGGGCATGTTGAACTCCTTTACCAAGTTTCGTATATTGCATAGAATGGACCAGTTCGCCGCTGCCAATCCAATACTGTGATGCAGATACACGCCAATCCATAGGAAGCCGCCCGCACACAAGCCGCCGCAGTGAAGCACCACAACCCGACCTGGCGCGAGATCTGCTGGAGTGACCTCCAGCTCGCTGAGACCATGGGCCGCCGTCATCATGGCAACCCCACCTGAAGTGCCCTTGTCAGATTTTTGCACAGCTGAGCCAACACGCGCATGCCAACCTGCGCGCCGAAGACGATGCTCAAGCGCTGTACCGTCTAGCTGATGATGTTCCTGAACGCAAACTGCACTGGCCTGACGAACCTCGGAATCAGCTAAGAGCTCATCCAAACCCGCCAGCCCCGTAACGTTGGACGTGACGATGGTGAAGCTAAAGATTGGACTCACCAGGGGGGGTCGAGCGAGCCTTCTTCTCGAGCCGCTCCTTAGCCTCATTGAGGATGTTGGTGGCCAGCTCGTGCTTGATGCCGTGCTTGCTCTCCAGCTCAGTGATGAAGGAGTTGTCGCCGAGCAGGCTGTCGAGCTCCATGTCGAGCGGCACGGCATGGTTGAGCCCGCCAGCAGCAGCTGCACCCCCGCCTGCGGTGCCTCCACCATCGGCGCCGCTGGCAGCAGCGGCGCGCTCAGCAGGAGGCTGAGCGGGCTCAGCAGCGGGTGCAGCAGCAGGAGGAGGACCATAGCCGAGGTCTTTAGCCATGTCCTCCAGCTGCTTGATGAGCTTGTCGTACTTCTCCTTGTCAGGGCCGCCCTCGGCGGGTGGGCCAGAGCCGCGGATGCCCTGCGCCCAGGCGTGGAAGGCGGCCTCGCCCTCGGACGGCTGGGCGGGCGCGAGGCTGCTGAAGGCCTTGGCAGCCTTGGCGGCCGCCTCGTCGGCAGCAGCCTGAGCAGACTCCATCTCCGCCTTGGCCTGGGCAGTGGCCTGCATGGCCTGGGCGAGCGAGTTCTGCGCCCGCTCGTACTTGGACTTGGCCTTCTCGAGCTTCTGCTGGAAGACATCCTGCTGGATGCGCGCCTGCTTGGCGCACTCCCGCGGCTCGCCCTGCAGCATGGCGCGCGCCGCGCGCACGCGCCCCACCACGCGCGGATGCCAGCCGTCAGAGATGGCATCGAAGTCGCGCGGCGCCATCCCAGCGAAGACCTCGATCTGGTCATCACTGGGGTGGGTGGGTCCTTGGTACCGCGGCCCGTTGATCTGGGGCGGCCGCTGCCATGCGCCTCGCGGCGGCGGAGGGTCGGCGACGACTGGCTTCTTCGGTGCCTGGCCGCACATGCGACACGACGTGCGCCACGCATAGTTAAACTGGTAGCCACACTGCTTGGAGCGAGGACAAGCCCAGAAATTCATCCGGCCCACTGGCCCAGTAAGAGGTAAGTGAAAGCGAGGCAGTGCAGGCGAGAAACGCGGTGCAGTACCTGACTCTGGTGCGCGAGCGGGGGCCGCAACAATCCCCCACGCCAAAATGCCAAGGTCACTGAGCCACAGCTTGAGCCAAAATGGCTACGGACCTTCCTCCTCCTCCTCCTCCTCCTCCTCCTCCTCCTCCTCCTCCTCCTCCTCCTCCTCCTCCTCCTCCTCCTCCTCCTCCTCCTCCTCCTCTTGGTTCCAGTGTCACCTGGCCCGCCCCCTCGTGCGCCTCTGGCCCTCCGCGGGACGCTCCGACCAGAGATTGCGCGCGCCAGCGCGCGCGGCTCCCGTGCCGGCGAGAGAGAAGGAAGAGAGGGAGAGAAGGAGCAGGAAGAGGAGGAGGATGAGGCAGTCCCAGACATGATCGCGTCGAAAAAAAAATCAGCTCGGGAGGTCTTTGGCCGTTTTCGGCCCCTGGAAGCCCTCGCCGGGCCTCGGGACCGTCGGAAGACGACCTAAGATGAAAAACGGGTCCCAGGGAAGGGGTCGGGATTTCAGGGGCCACGTATTGACAAAGTCAGGGCGTCGCATTTCTGAGATTGCCCGTTCCTCGACGCCCTCCTCCCAGCGGGTGCCGCCGGTCTTGCCGCCCCGGTGCACGCTCCTACCGCGCGTGAGCGTTTTGGATCTGTGAAAGCGAGCGCGCGCGGCGAAAAGGGGGGAGACCCGCCATGTTGCAAGGGGCACGGCCTCCGTCCGCGCAGCTGTGCGTCGCGCCGAAGCGAGGGCTACTGCTTGAAGACCAGTATGTTTTATATCTATATATAGTTTATATATAATAACAATTCTAATACATAGTAATAATAAAGATAATAATCCTAATAATAATCATAAGAATAATAATATTAATAATAATAATAATCAGAATAGTAACACGCAGAATAATAATGATAATACTAATAGTAGTAATATTAATGATAATAATGTTGATCGCGATACTGATAATAATGATAGTAATAATAATAATACTACCCATAATAATACGAAGAATAACAACAACACCAACAACAACAACAACCACAACAATAATGGCAATATGAATCGGAATACGAATAACAATACGAATAATACATATAATAGTAACAATAAAAGACAATAATAATACGATCCGTTAAAATACTAAACCTAAAAAATCCTCTTTGAAGACCAGTCGCCGCCCACCCGTGCAGCTTCTGGACATGCTCGGGAGGAGCGCGCGCGGTGCGCAGGGGGGGAGGGGGGGGGCAGGTTGCAGGAGGGCCCGCCCTCCAGGCGCGCAGCGGCTGCCGACCTCCGGAGGAGAGCGTGCCCAGTGCCAGAGTCCAGACGCCGGAGAACAACAACAAAAAAGCAAACGCTATCTGACGTTCGGGGGGGGGCTCTGGTTGTCCCGGGCCCAACGACAGGGGGGGATGGGGAAAGGGGTGTGTGTCACGGAATCTGCTGCATGCGGCTGGTTTCGGCCCCGCCGCCGGGCCCATGCCTCGACACATGGGCGCCTCCCGGCGCCGGGAGGCGCCGGGAAAATCAGCCACGTGAGCTGAGTCTCAAACCCTCCCTTTTGCTATCCCCCCTTTTTCGCCCGGCCCGATTGTCGGGTCGTTCCGGAGGTGTTCAGGAAGGGAAAAAACACACAGACACAATGAATCGTCGATTCCCCAGAAAAGATGGGAAAAGATGGGAAGTGGTGGGGCAGACAAAAACCCAGAAAATATATAAACGCTTGCGGTAGGTAAGTCGGGGGTGGGAGATCAGGGGTGCGGAGTTAGGCATGGCCGTGAAGAGATTGCATGGCAGTCGCTGTTGTGGCTCAGTCTCTTGAGGCTTCTGGCCTTGCGGGGCATGTTTGATCCTGGCTCCGGGCCGCCACCGCCAGCCTGGGAGCCGATCCAGGAGACGGTCCCCTCACCTTCCGGGCCTCCGCCCGGCTGGCCCCCGCGACCGCCTGGGCGATGCTGCGGGCGGGTGGTGCTCGGGCCAGCTCGGCCCCAACGAGTCCCTGGCGCTGGCCCTGAACGGCCAGCTCTGGGAGGTGTGCGAGCTGTGATACCTCCTGGCGCTGGCGCGGCAGCACGCCTGGCGGGCCCGGCGGCCGCCAGGCGAGCGAGCGTTGCTGCTGGAGCAGGCGCGCCACTTGACGGCGCTCCTGGCGGCGCTGGCAGGGCTGGCGGACGAGGTCGTCCGGGATGCCGCCCAAAGCTAAGGCCAAGGCGAAGGGCAACGCCTAGGCGGCAGCTCACGGCCTCGGCGTCGCGCGCGGCGGGGGACGCGCCCGTGGGCGCGGTCGCGGCGGAGGCCGAGGCGCAGCGGCGGCGGGCCGCGGGCGTGGCCGCGGTCGGCCGGCGCCCTGGAAGGGCTGCGGCAAGGGCCGCTAGCACTGGAGGCTCGGGCGCGCCCAGCTGATGATGCACGTGAGGATGCGAACCCTCTGGGCCCAGCGGGAGCTCGTGCTGGCTGCATGGGCGAGCCAGAGCCGCCAGCTGACTCGCTAGCAGCAGGCCGGGAGGCGGCGCGCGCGGGGGCAGCTTGGCCAGAGGCGAGCGCCCCCCTGGCGGTGCTCTTCCGCACTTGGCAGGAGGAGGCTATTATAGGGCTGCTGCCGGGTCCTTCCGCCGCCCGCTGGACGCGGGCCCGATCCTCGAGGAGCTGATGCGAGAGTTCCCAGGGTCGCCTGAGGTCTACGTGGACAAGTTCATGCACAGCGGGCATCGGCCAACTAGACGGGGGCGGCTGCAGCGTGATCTGCAACCGCTACCCTGTCCCGATCTTGAAGCTTCGGACTTCACCGTGGAGGAGAATATTGACCCAGGCGACCTGGCCTCGCTGCAGTCTCGCTCGAGGGTAATCGCGATGGCTATGTACTGGGAGGCCGGCTACCGCCACCTGAAGTGGGCCGACGTCTGCGAGCCGGAGCCGAATGCGGCCCAGCGCTCGGCTCTCCTCGGGATTGCGCGGCGCGTCTACTCGAGCGTCGCGCTCGAGCCCGCCATGGCCGGGACCCTCGACTGGCCCGAGAAGCTGAAGGACCGGGCCATCGCGCACGACAGCTCGGAGGTCTCCACGCCGAGCAAGGTCACGCTCGAGCAGATCGAGGGCGGCCTGCCGCCTGCGGGGGTAGCCGCCTCCATCGAGGCCGCGGATCTCGCCGCGGGCTTCGTGCGGGCGGCGCTGCTGGACCCCTCCCTGGTCCTCCTACCGCCGGCGCAGAGGCCCCCCGCGCCGACCTCGGCGCGCGTCCGGGCGACGGCGCAGGAGTGGGAGCAGGTGGCGAGCGCCCTCTTTGCTCGCGGGATGGTCGGCCCGATCGACGAGGGCGAGATCGCGACCAGAGGCGGGGTCCCCTTGATCAACGAGGCCTTCGGCGTGGCGAAGGTGCACGACGCGCCGGTCCGCTGCGGCGACGGCGAGGAGCGGCCCGTCCTGCGGCTCATCGTCAACCTGACCACCGCGAACGCGTGCCAGCGCGTCGCCGCGGGGGGCACCCCCGCCATGCCGACGACGGGGCAGCTGAACGGGCTGGCGCTGGCTCCAGGGGGGCAGCTGCTCTGGAGCGGGGCGGGCCGCAAGGCGTTCTTCTGCGTCTTCAGGGCGCCCCCCGCCTGGTGGCCCTACACGGCGCTGGGGCCGCCGGTGCCGCGGCGGCTGGTGGGCGGCAGCGGCGACGGGCCGACCCGCCTCGCACTGAGAGTCATCGGCGTGGGCTGGATCAGCGCGGTCGGGGTGACGACGCACCTCCACCGCAACATGCTGAGGCGGTCGGCCTCAGCCCCCCGCGGGCCGCCGCCTGCGGCCGAGGTGGCGCGCGCCCGCCGCCTGCCCGCGGAGGCCCAGGCAAGCGGCGTCGCGATGTGGCTCATCTACGTCGACAACCTCGAGATCGCGGAGATCATGTCGAGTGAGGAGGCCGTCAAGCTGAAGGGGACCATCCCCGAGCTGCTGAGCCGGGCGTCGGCCGGCTACGAGGAGGCTGAGTCCCCCGGATCGCCGGGCAAGGATGTCCACCGTGCCCAGCAGGTTTCCAGTTTGGGGGACCTCGTGGATGGCGAGGCTGGCGCGCGGCGGCCGCCGCTGGGCTACGCCACGCAGCTCGCGAGCCTGACGCTGCGGTTCCTGGCGAAGAGGCGCCCGAGCAGGCGGCTGGCGCAGATCCTGCTGGGGCGCTGGGTTCGCGTGCAGTGCTATCGGAGACCGCTCGCCGCCGCCTTCGTGAACGCGTGGAAGTGGCTGGCGTCGGGCCGCTCGGGCGGGCTCATCACCCTGGGCGTCGCCGAGGACCTGATGATCGCGGCCGCGCTTGCGCCGCTCAGCGTGGCGGACAGGCGGCTGACCGTCGACCACCTCGCGACGGCGTCCGACGCCTCGGAGGCCGCGGAGGCGATCGTCTACCCCCAAGGGCTGTCAGACATGGGCCGCGCCCTTGGGGCTGGGGGCCCGCGGACCCTCAACCCGGCCTGCGAGGAGGGCGTCGCGCTGATCTCCGTCTTCTCGGGGATCGACGGGGCGCGCCGGGCCTTCGAGGTCCCGGGCTGGTCCCGGCGGCGCACCTGTCGTTCGAGGTGGACGCCGAAGCCGTGCGCATGGCTCGGCGGGCGCACCCCAGCACCGTGCACCTGGGGGGCGGCACGGCTGCAGATCCTGCGCATCTGGCAGGCCTCCTGAAGGGCCACGGCCGCATCACGAAGGTGTTCGTGACCAAGGGGCCCCCCTGCCAGGGCTTCACGGTGGTGAACGGGGCCCGCGAGGGGAGCGCGGACCCGAGGTCGCAGCTGGTGGGCCACATGTGGAGGCTCATCGAGGGGCTGAGGCGCGAGCTGCCCGAGGCCACAGTGGACTTCCTCGGGGGGAACGCGGCGTCCATGGCGGAGGACGAGGTCCTGGCCTTGAACAAGATGTTCGGCCGAGTGCCGGTGCCCCTCGACGCCGCGGACCTAGGCTGGGTCCGCCGCCCGCTGCTGCACTGGCTGTCGTGGGACCGGCTGCCCTCCTTCGAGATGTCGGCCGAGATAAAGGCGGCGGCGGATGGGGCCCGGCCGCGGGCCTGCCGAGTGCGGCCGGTGACGGAGCCGCCGCCCGTCTCGGAGTGGCTGCCGCGCGGGGTCTCCTGACCGGGGGCCGCCGAAGGCGGCCGCCTGCCGACCTTCGCGCGCCGGGCGCTGCGGAGCTCGCCTCGGCCGCGGCCCGCGGGGCTCCGCTTGTGCACGCCGAAGGGGGTGGCGCGCTGGACGGCGGCGAGCTACGCAGCCCCGCCCTACCAGTTTCGGGATTGCTTCTGCCTGCATTGGGCGGATGCGCGGAAGGAGCCGCCGCGGGCAGCGGAGCGCGAGGTGCTGATGGGCTTCAGGCGGGGCCACACCGTGCCCTGCATGAGCAGCTCCTCCGCCAAAAGCGACCCCGAGCGCCTCGAGGCCCTGCGGCGGTAACTCGTGGGGAACTCGCTCCAGTGCGAGGTCGTGGCCTGGTGGCTGAGCCACTGGGCGGTGCACCACTCGCTGCTGGTGGCAGTGCCGTCCCTGCGGAGCCTCCACGAGAGCTCGAGGAGCTGTTCGATGGGCCGCAAGCTCTGGGCCAGCGGCGTGGAGACGCTGCGGTGTGGGCGCGAGGCCGTGTGCGAGGAGAACCTGCACCTGGTGGAGGAGGCTGGCCACGCGCCCGCGGCGGGCGCCGGGCAGGAGGCGCGCGCCGTCTACGTCGGCCGCGGCTCGCGCCGCTGGGGGCTCGGCCCCTCCAAGTGGGGGAACCCGCGCCCCGTGGTGCCCGGGCGGCCGGCCGGCGACGCCGTGGCGCTGTTCGCAGGCTGGCTGCGCTCCCAGCCCGAGCTCCTGGACCAGCTGAGAGAGCTGGAAGGGGCTCGGCTGCTCTGCCACTGCCCCTTAAGCGAGCCCTGCCGCGCGGACGTCCTGCTGGCGGAGCTGGAGCAGCGCGGCAAGGGGTGCTCCCGGCCCTTCCTGGAGCACCAGAGGGCGGTGGCCTCGCAGGTGATGACGTGCCGCCACTCGGGCGCCGACCTTCGAGTGGATACTGATGCAGGACGTATGGCAAGATGTTCAGACAACATGAGATCAGTGCTGGCATTTGGAAGTGGAAGGTCGCACGCCAGCTCGTTTGGCAGAACCAGGCCAAGCACATCAATGTGTTAGGGTGCGAGGCGGCCCTGCGTTGGCGGGCCCGGTCAGTCTCACGACAGACGTGCGTCTTCCCTCACCTGCTCGACAGCATGGTGAATATCAGTGCTCTTGCCATGCGCCGGTCTTCGAGCCAGCAGCTCAACAAGGTAGCGCGCGCCTTTTCCCATCCTTGAGCTGGCGCTCGGATCCAAGCGGTCTTTGCCTTCACCTCATCAGCAAAGAACCCTGCGGATGCGCCATCCCGCTTGCCTAATGGGTAGGCGCACTTCGCCCGAGGTGAGGCGTGCTACCCGAGCTGCTCTCGGCCGTCTGGCCGACGCGCGTGCGAACACTGGAGCACGCAACAAGCACCAGCACGCATGCCAGCGGTTTGTCGAGCTTTCGAATGCACGCATTTCTCTTTGCCAGTCACGTAAGGCGAATCCCTGCCTTCAAGATTATCTTAAGCATCTCTGGAGCATCGGACCCCCGCAAGGCAGGCGAATGACACTCTGTCAGGAGTGCAACATTTTCTGCGCTCGCGCCGCCAGTACCGGGGCATGGCGCCTACTCTCGGTGTGGTCACGCCTCGAGGTGCCGAGCCGAGCGCCTCCGATGCCTGCTCGAGTCGCCCCGCAATGGCCAGCTGGGCGCTCGAGCGCAATGATGCACTGTCGCTGGGCCCTGCCAGCTTTGGAGCGGCACGCTCCCAGCCGTTCACGCCGCTTTTAAGCGTGCCGCTGCAGGCGCGAGCTGTCGCCACGCACGCCTCACTCCGCACAGCCTTCGTCGGAGAGGGCCGCGCGCGAATATCTATCGCCAAACAATCTTGGCGCGTCATGTTGCAGGGGCGTTCGAGCTCCATCAGGACGAAGACATATATATATATATCAAAGACAGTGCCGCCATCCTTGCAGCGTGCTGTTCAGAGGCGAGACTCAGAGGTGGATCAGTCATTATACGTCTTCCCTTGTCTCTCGTAGCAGAGAAGAATTCGGCTGACTAGCCAGGGTGGGGCGGGTGGAAAGGATCGAGCGGCCTCGACTCCCTCAGATCGCAGCCCGGAACGCCGCTGTGCCGACCATTCTTGGGTCGACCGTCTGGGTCCCTGGCCGAGCGCGATGAGGCGCGGAGAGTGGTTTCGAGGCCCCCTCGGATCCAAGTCAAAGTGCTATGGCCATGTGGAGAAGGATGGGGCCCTCTGGAGGCCCCCTGTCCTAAGTGCTTCCGCAACCCCGCCTCCCCCCAACCACACTGATATAAACGCTTGCGGTAGATAAGTCGGGGGTGGGAGATCAGGGGCGCGGAGTTAGGCGTGGCCGTGAAGAGATTGCATGGCAGTCGCTGTTGCCCGCCCGCTACCACCCTTGGCGACTGCTTTTACCTTGCAAGACCCGCAAGGATCGAGCGGCCTCGACTCCCTCAGATCGCAGCCTGGAACGCCGCTGCGCCGACCATTCTTGGGTCGACCGTCTGGGTCCTTGGCCGAGCGCGATGAGGCGCGGAGAGTGGAGTCGAGGCCCCCTCGGATCCAAGTCAAAGTGCTATGGCCATGTGGAAAAAGGATGGGGCCCTCGGGAGGCCCCCTGTCCTAAGTGCTTCCGCAACCCCGCCTCCCCCCAACCGCACTTATATATGAAAATATGGGGCATCTTTTGATTTGTGTGTATTTGTTTGTGTGTCCCTGGGCCCCTTCAGTGTAGGATCTATAGGTCGTGGAGCCCGTCCGTGGCCGATGCCCGCCGCGGCCCCGAGAGCCTCCCGTCGCTGCCCACTCGGCGCTCCACTGGGGCAGCGCAGCGGCCGCCGCAGACTCGGAGGGCGAGTGCGCGCGCCTGGCGCTGGGGCGAGAGGCACTTTTTGACAAACCACCTTCACCACGCACCAGACCACCCCGACCCAACCCGAAGCCCTCGATTTGCCCTCCACTTCCAGCGGGGGGGGGTCGGGGAACGTTGAAAAAAACACATGGGACCCGTACCCCCCCCCACCCGAAATTGGGGTCAAATTCGGGTCTTCGGGTTGGGTTGGGGTGGTCTGGTAGGTAGTCACACTTGGCCTCCATCCGTCCCGCTTGTCAGAATGTGTCAGACGAGTGCTCCCGGCGCTGAGGCGGAAGCCACATGTCGACGACGAGTCGCCCTCCACCCGCGCAGCTGCACCGCGAGTCCAGGTGCATGGGAGCACGCGCCTGCCAGCGTGGACCCGAAATTGTGGGCCGATGCATTGTCGACGAGCGCTGAAGGAGGTGCAACCCGCATGGTGCAACACACGGCGTGCAATCTACGCGATACCATAGACGGGTTGCAAGCTACTGGGTGCAGCACATGCGGCGCAGCCTACGAGACGCAATGCATTGCAGATGCGGAGCAACTACGTACCACCACGGCGCCGACCCAGACGCCGCCGACGACGACGACGACGACGACGACGCGGCCGCCGACGCCGACGCCAACAGCGACGACGACGACGACGACGACGACGACGACGACGACGACGACGCGGCCGCCGCCGCCGACGACGACGACGACGACGCCGCCGCGTGCCTCCGCCCGCCCCGCGGCGGGCGCCAGAGGCGCCCCTGCTCGCCGCGGTGGCGGAGGAGGACGGCGCGTACTCCCCGTTCTTCAAAGGCGGCCGCTGGGCGTCCCGACCGTCCAGGGGCCGAGCGGCGTCGCCGTCGTCGTCGGCCTCGGCCTCGGCCTCGGCCTCGGCCTCGGCCACGTCGGCATCGGCTCCAGCGGCCGCGGCGTCGTCGTCGGCGGCCGCGTCGTCGTCGTAGTACTCCACGTTCTTCGAAGACGGCCAGCGGGCGTCCCGAAGGTCCAGCGGCACAGGTCGGCACAGGACGGGGAACAAACAGCGACGCGAGCATAAAGCTGGGCTGTCCGCGCGGATGTCTCGGATCGGCGCTGGAGCCCCGTGGCGGCGCCTCCGACGCCGCCCTTGGCGCGCTCCGCGCGCCTGGGAAGGTGGGTCCGCCGCCGATCCGAGAAATCCGTGCGGACCTCCGAGTCTGTTGCTCAACGCTTCTATATCTTTGCTTGCTTCCCTCGCAGAGGGCCCACTCAGTTTTCCGTCGCGGCGCGGCAGAGGCGATCCGCTCGCGCGTCGAGCAGCCCGGGCCGCGGCGTAGCGAAGTGCCCCGCAGGCAGGAGGGGGAGAGCCAGGAGAGGGCGGCCGCAGAGGGGGGGGAAGAGAGGGGAGCGCCCTCAACGCGGCGGCGCTGCGGGGAGCGCGCGGGGGGGGGGCCAGGCTGCGGGGCAGCCCCGGGCAGGGGCGCGGGGCGTCGCCGCGGGCGCACCCAGGGGCGGGGCGCCCGAGGGCCCAGGCGTGCGACGTCTTGACGTCTGCAGCGCGCGGCCCCCGGAAGTCCCGACCCGTGCCCCAGGGCCAGTTCCTCATCCCGAGTCGTTCTCTGGCGGTCCTGGGGCCCGGGCAGGCCCCCATCAGAGGCTGAGGGTGCAGGAAGAATGGCCGTCCTGATTTCTGCGGTTCACGACGCGAGCCTGTCTGGGAATTCGTCGTTCGGAGCCGCGCGGCACAGGAGGCCCAGGCTGTCACGGCGGCAGCTCGCCCTCGCACGAGGCCGCGCGGCGCCTCGGCCCTCGCACGGCCCCGGCCGCCGGCCTGCGTGATCGTCTGGCGCGTGGCTTCCGCGTGCTCCGAGGCCCCCCCCCAAGTGGCCCAGGGATGTCGGCTTCGCGTAAGGTTGGGGCGTTCGTGAAGGAATGTGCCCAGGCGGCTTCAGACCCTAGATGATTCCTTACCTGATGAGGGCGGCGGTGATATCCATGGCCAGTCCTCGACTGAACTTGCGCTGGCTTCCAGACCCTGGATTCCTTCTCTAATGGTTCCTTATCCAACGCCCTCACCGTAAGGGTGGCCTCTGTGCGGGCCCACGGGGTCGGGGCTCACGTCACGGGGGTCCGCGCGAACGCGGGTCGGCCAATCCCCCCCGAGAGCCTCTGGCTGACCCAGGCCCTGGGAGCCGCCTGGGGCCGAAACCCCGCTCCCCCTGCCCTCCGCGGACCCAGCTTCGGGAGCTGCGGCGTGGCCGGCCCCTGGACTTCGCGACGGGGCCCTGGCAGGCCCAGGCCTGCGCTGACCCGGGCCAGGGCGTCCCCGACCAGGGGGGGCAGGCTGGGGCGCGGAAGGTTTGCGTCGAGGCCTCCTAGATTTAGGAAGTCCAGGTTTCGCTAGGGACTGGTTTCCCCCCAAAACGACGAAAACCATTCCAAAGCCCGCCCAGAACCCTCCGAAAAGCCTCCCCGAACCCTTCTGGAGGGTTTTCGGTGAGTTTCGGGAGGGTTTCGGCCGCTGTGAAAGGAAACCAGTCCCTAGCGAACCCTGGACTTTCTAGTCCTAGATGGGGCCAGAGTAGTCGCGCCGCATCGCCGATGCATCGGCGGTGCGGCACGATGTGGAGCCCGATCTTCTCCACGCCAACGACGCCGATACATCGCAAAGGTCGCCGATGCATCGAACGATGCATCGGCGATGCATCGACGATGCGGCGCGATCCTCCAACCCCACCTACTCTGACCCCATCAAGGAGGCCTCAACTGCGGCAGTTTGGCCGGGTTTTCGCACATCCTCGCCTGGGCTTGAAGGCCCAGGGCGCTTGCCATCAGCTGCGACGGGCCGAGGGGGCCTTCCGAGGAGGCCAGGATGGTCCCAGACGGCCGCTCGAGGCCCGAGCCACGGCCCGGAAGCCGGGGAGGCCCCATGGACCTCCGACGTCTTCGGACTCGGGGAACTCGTGCCGAGCCCCGGGACAGTCAAACAAATCCCAAGACGGCAGTCTGGCCTTAGGAAGGAGGTCGGGATTCCAGGCGAACAAATACTGAAATTCGTCATCACCATCGTCATCATCGTCATCATCATCATCAGCAGCAGCATCATCATCAGCATCAGCATCAGCATCGGCATCATCACCATCATCATCATCATCATCAGCAGCAGCAGCAGCAGTATCATCATCATAAGCATCATCATCATCAGCATCATCATCGTCATCATCACCATCACCACCATCATCATCATCGTCCTCAGAATCATTACCAGCAACATCATAATGATAAGAATCATCATCACCATCAGGACCGTCACCATCATCATCATCAGCATCACCATCCTTACCATCAGCATCGCCATCATCATCACGATCACCGTCACCATCATCGTCGTGATTAGCATCGTCATCATCGGCATCATCACCATCATCAGCTGCTGCAGCATTATCATCGTCATAGTCGTCATCATCACCTCCACAAGCAGCATCATCATCACCATCATCATCAGAATTATGATCATCATCGTCAGCAGCAGCATCATCATCAGCATCACCATCTTCTTGACCATGGTTACGATGACGACGATTCGGACGACGATGATGACGCCGACGGTGTGGTTGATGATGAAGTTGTTGACGGTGAAAATGATGATGATAATGATAGTGATAGTGGTGATGGTTGATGGTGATGATGATCATGAACAGGATTTCGGTGATGCTGACGATGCTGATGCTGATGATGTTGATGTTGACGATGATGGTGATGATGGGGAGGATGGGAACGATGATGATGATGATGATGATGATGGTGATGAGGGTGATGATGATGACGATGATGATGACGATGGTGATGTGATTGAGATGACTGTGGTTATGATGATGGTGGTCGTGGGGATGATGATGATGATGATGATGATGATGATGATGATGATGATGGTGAGGATCGTGAACATATTCATGATCATGGTCATGATGAAGGTCATGGTGCTGGTAATGGTGATGGCGACGATGATGATGGTGATGATCTTGATCATGATCATGATGATGGCGGTGATGCTGATGTTGTTGATGGTGGTAATGATGGTGCAGCTGCTGATACTGATGCTGATGGTGGTGATGGTAATGATGAGGGTGAGGATGATAATGAGGATGAGGATGAGGAGTATGATGATGATGGTGGTGGTGATGATGGTGATGATGACGATGATGATGGTGATGACGGTGATGGTGGTGGTGCTGATGATGATGATGAAGATTACGATGATTATGGTGATGATGATGATGATGATGATGATGATGATGATGCTGATGCTGATGCTGATGCTGATGCTGATCCCCCTCATGGGCCCGCAGCCCTTCCGGCGCGACTGCCCTGGCCAGCCAGCGTCTCGGCCTTGCGCGGGACCGAAGCCTCACCATTCCAAGGCTGCAGGCGGTCGCAGACGCATCAGGCCCCTGGCCCCTACGGCCATTTTGAGAACGACGGCTCGACCCACACTCTCGGGTGGGCCGGGCCGACGGCCCGGCCCGCCTTGGGTGCCCTCCAGAACACAGTTGGAAGGCCCATGGAGGAGACGCGGAGCAGCGCCACCGCAGAGGATCGCAGCGGTCCGCACGCCCCTCTTGGCGCGCATGACCTCGACGAGCTCGGCCCGCATTTGCTCGTCCGCCCTGCCCCTTCCGAGCGGCAAGCGCGGCAACGCGTGCGCGATCCTGAGCGCCGTCGGGAGGGCCTTCCCCGAGACATCGTCGAGCTTAACGCCGAGGCAGCCGCCGACGCCAGGAGCATCGCCGAGGCGCACTGGAACTGGCTCTGGCGGCAGCTGCACCGCCGCTGCGGCAGCTGCAGCAGGCCCCAGCGCAAGAAGATCACTCCCACCAGCGGTCGTCGGCTCGTCAGCCCACTCGTCACCGATGTCACTCACATCCATGGGAATGCCGCCCTTCGCAGAAGCTGCCCCCAGCTTCGCCTCGGCCAGCCTCTGGCATCGGCGGCGCCTGCGGGGGACCCTGCCCATGTTTCTGTCCTCGCCCTTGTCCTCCGATTGATTCATAGCCTTAATCTTACCCGTGTCCTTGCCACCGTCGACCTCGCTAGCGACCGTCATAGACCGCGACGGCATCGCGCCATCGCGAACAGCGAGGCGGAAACTACCGAGCGCGCGATGGTGGCGGCGGTGCGGCAAGACGCAGACGCATGAGCTTGCACCGCCGCGCGCACGCTGGCGGGTGGAGTTCATCTGGGCGCCGACATCGCGCTCCGAGGTGGGCGCGAGGCATCACCGTGCGATCGCTTGAGGCAGAGTCGCTACGGATGATGATGCTGTTGATGATCATGAAGATGGTGGTGAATAGGAGTAGTAACGATGGCACTACGGAAAAATATTAGAAATTAGACGGTCAGCAACAAACATTAAAACAATAATTGTCTGGAAAATGATTATAATAATAGTAATAATTAACATAGCAATATCAACATAAAAAATAGTATTGGTAATAATAAGAAGAAGAAGAACAGAGGAAGAAGGCATGGTGGGAGTTTGTCTTGAGTCTGAGAACTCATGTCTTCCTGACCCCTGGCGCGCGAGGGAATGGGCCCGCCCACCGCCCACCTATTCCGTTTCCAGGCCGTTTCCAGGAAATCCAAACATTTGGTGACGAATTCCAAACCGGCGCCTTCGCGTGGGACATTTTCAGAAAACCGGCCACCAGAGTTTCCCCAAGGAGGCCCGCAGGGTCCCCTGTTCCGTTTCCGGGAAATCCGCGGAACCTTGCGACGAATTCCAAACCGGCGCCCTCACGTGGAACATCCTCCACGAGCCTCCCCAAAGAGACCCTCAGAGGCTCATTTGTTCTGTTTCCGGGAAATCCAGGCAATCTGGTGACGAATGCCAAACTGGCGCCCTCGCGTGGGAAATCCTCCGAAAACCGGCACCCCGAGCCCCCGGAGGCCCTCAGAGGCCCCCTTGATCCGCTTCCGGGAAGTCGGGGAAGTCCGGCGACGAATTCCAAGCCGGCGCCCTCGCGTGGGACCTCAGAAGGCTGGCCCCCCGAGACTCCCCAAGGAGGCCCTCGGGCGCGCGCCAGGGCGCACCGGGCGTGTCCCAGGCTGGGGCTCTCGCTCGAGCCAACCTCCCAGCCCAGAGACCCGATGTCGCGACTGCTCCCCAGAAGCTTCGGCCCCTTCCCCAGGACCGGTTTTTCACCCTGAGCCGTTTCTTGACGGTCCCATGGACCCGGCGAGGGCCCTTATAGAGGCCGAAAACTATGAAGAGCTCCCGCCTTGATTTTTCAATGAGCCGTGTTTTGATAGTCCTGGGACCCGGCGAGGGCCCCTACAGAGGCCGCAAAGTGTGAAGAATTCCGTCTTGATTTTTGTCAGT